CCTTTCTCCTTCTCTCCCTCCCTCCCTTGCTTCCTTTTTCCTCCCTCCCTCCCTTCCTCCCTCCCTCCCTTGCTTCCTTTATCCCTCTCTCCTTCTCTCTCTCTCTCTGTCAATAACAAACAAAACCAATATGGATCCTCCACTCACCCAACCCTCATCCCAAATACTCAGCAGTTCATAAATAGGTGCTTGGGGTGGGGGTGGAGGGAGATAACTTGGGAAACATACTAGATTTGCCAAAGTACTAAAGACATTCGAATGCCTCATTCCTCTTCAGAAATTAAATGATATAAGGGCTCTGGTGAACCTGGCCATGTCCCCAAAGGTCAGAAAATCGTAACCCTTGGGAGAAAGAGTGCTTCTCTTCTTACATTTGGGTGTTTTTTAAAACACATACACACACACCTGCTGTTTTATCCTGTATCCTAACTAATGCTTTTGAGGGCTTACTGAACAGAGTAACAGAAAAGGGGGGAAAATGTTTGTTAAAACCTGAAGGTTACAAAGAAGGAACAGAAGAAGAATTTGATAAGCAGTGAAAGGACATGACATGTCTCAGTACTGTAGCCAGAATTGATTCAATTTTCTGCGTACTCTACGTGCGAGATAACAAATTTCATAAGTTTGATTTAGGGTGCCCAGTTGACAGGAAGTTTTACATGCCAGGATTAAAATCAGATACACCCTGCAATTATGGGAACCCTGGGAATTATGCAGACACTTGGGTCTCTGTGTGTGTGTGTCTCTGTTTGTGTGTGTGTGTTCCAGGGGTGAAATCCAGCAGGTTCTGACAGGTTCTGGAGAACCGGTAGTGGAAATTTTGAGTAGTTCGGAGAACCGGCAAATACCACATCTGGCTGGCCCCAGAGTGGGGTGGGAATGGAGATGTTGTAATATCCTTCCCCTGGAGTGGGGTGGGAATGGAGACGTTGCAATATCTTTCTCCCAGGAGGGGAGGGAATAGAGATTTTGCAGTATCCTTCCCCTGGAGTGGGGTGGGAATGGAGATTTTGCAGTATCTTTCCCCTGCCACGCCCACCAAGCCACGCCCACAGAACCGGTAGTAAAAAAAAATGAATTTCACCACTGGTGTGTTCCTCTTATTAAACAAAAAAACAACTGGAACAAAATCAGCAGAAATCCCCACAAGTCTGTTGTTGTAATGAAGTTAACCGAGTTTTAAAAAAGGAAACATTAACTTTTGCTTCCCTTTGTGCGTTGAAGTTAGGTATCCCATCTTCTCATGTCTTGAGTATTGCTTTAATTATTTGAATTTCATCCATCGTTTTCACTAGTAATTGATATTGGCATGTGAAAGAACCTTTCATAAAATTCTTCCTTGCAACTTTTGCCCTCAAACTGCACACGATTCTTTTACTGTGGAATTCTATGCCGCCTTTGTGATGGCGATTAAATTTAAATTCTTGAACCTAGGGGGAAAAACAAAAACAGAAAAACCTCAGCTTATCTGAAAGTCAATTGAAGTACATTGCCAGTCTTAAATTCATTCTGGCTCCAATTGTCCATTGTTTCGTGTTATTCATTTTTCCCTGTTGTTCAGAAACTACATCATAAACTACATCTTTTGAAAACCGCACAGAATGCATTGCATTCCTTGTCTAAATTTGATCTCCACACTGTATTTACTTAGGGTAAATCCTCCACAGTGTGCATGAGTAATGGGTGTTCCTGTTATATATACTGGGTATGTCTGGTTTAATGAAAAGAAGGACTAGGGGAGACATGATACAGTGTTCCAGTATCTCAGGGGATGTAAAAAAAGATGTGGAGACTCTAGAAAGAGTGCAGAGAAGAGCAACAAAGATGATTAGGGGACTGGAGGCTAAAACATACAAAGAACGGTTGAAGGAACTGGGCATGTCTAGTTTAATGAAAAGAAGGACTAACAGAGACATGATAGCAGTGTTCCAATATCTCAGGCTGCCACAAAGAAGAGGAAGTCAAGCTATATTTCAAAGCACCTGAGGGCAGAACAAGAAGCAACGGGTGGAAACTAATCAAGGAGAGAAGCAACTTATTCCAGCAAGCCGGTCTGGCCTAATTTTTCTCCCCTTTCTTTTAAATTTTTTAAACTGAAATTTTAATTTGTTTTAAATTATTGGGATTTTAATTGTCGTGGGCTAAATTATTTAATTTGGTTTTAAATTGTTTCTAACTTTTGTATTTCTGTATTTTATCCTGTGCCTGTTCACCGCCCTGTACCACCGTAGGGCGGTATACAAATTTAATAAAACAAAACAAACAAAACAAAACAAACTTAGAACTAAGGAGAAATTTCCTGACAGTTAGAACAGTTAATCAATGGAACAACTTGCCTCCAGAAGTTGTGAATGCTCCAACATTGGAGGTTTTTAAGAAGATGTTGGATAATCATTTGTCTGAAATGGTGTAGGGTTTCCTGCCTAGGTAGGGGGTTGGACTAGAAGACCTCCAAGGTCCCTTCCAACTCTGTTATTCTAAATACTTCTAAATAGATAATTCAGCATAGTTTGTTTTAAGCTCCATGCTCTCCCCAACCCAACATCTAACATAGACTTTTACAACCAACTTTTACTGACCAACTATCCTGCAGCCCATGGATCTATGTAGTGCTTCCTTGCACTTAATAGATTATCTAAGATTTTGTCCATGGGGAACTCTGGGAATTGAAGTTTTGTCCATGGGGATCTCTGGGAGTTGAAGTTCACACACTATAAAGCCGCCAAGTTTGAAAAACATTTAAGTTAATTGATGGCAATTGCATCTTTCTCAAACCGGTACTGGACACCAACCTTCCAACTAAATCAGGGGTCCCCAACCTACTGGGCCACGGGCTAATCACCACTGGGCCATGTGAGGGGCCGGCCGATGTGCGCCCACACGGCCCCACTCACGTGAGCATTGTTGTGGGCTTAATCGCTTGCCCCTCCCACCAAATCATCCCCCTTTTGCCCCCTCCCCTACTCTGGGCTGCCAACCCAGAAGAGTTGGAGTTAACTCTGAGCTAAATCATTGCTAGCTGCTGCTGCTGCTGCTTCTTTTTAAAAAATGTTTGCTAATATACCGTATTTTTCGGAGTATAAGACACACCTTAGTTTTTGGGGAGGAAAATAAGAAAAAAGCTGATCGGCAGGTAGGTCGGCCTCCTGAAATACCCCCAATCAGCTGTTCCCAGAGGTGAATTTTAGCAACAGGTTCCTTGGTTGTGAGCTCTGTGCCTTGCTTTTTTTTGCTTTTTTTCCTGCCTCTGAAACTTCTGAAACTCCCTTTCAGAAAAAAACTTTCTTTTTTGCCTCTGAAAGCCTCCGAAACAGAGCTTCAGAAAAAAAGCCTCTGAAGTTTTTGGGGGGGCTTCTTTTCTGAAGCTCTGTTTGGGGGCTTCTTTTCTGAAGCTTCTTTTCTGATGCTTTTTTCAGCCTCTGAAACCTCCGTTTGAGAAACTGGGCAGGTATACATTCAGAGTATAAGACGCACCCAGATTTTCACCTTCTTTTTGGGGGGGAAAAAAGGTCCGTCTTATACGCCAAAAAAATACGGTAGATGATGCAGTGGTAGCCATAGAATTTTATAAACTGGCTTGCAGAAATGTTCCTTTCGGTGAAAGAATGAATGTGCAACTTCAGACAGGCTGACTAAAGTCATCCCCGTTTCTCTAAAAATCGCCCAAATCGTTCCATAAATTACCTAATGAATAAATGTGCCAGATGATCTCATTCTGAGCTTTCCTTCCTGAGCTGTTATTTTGCATACCAGAATTTACAGCGGGAGACTCATGTTTTCTGGAAAGGAAAAAAAAAACACATTTCCCTTAATACTGATGTTGCAAGAGTCTTATGAGCTGCTTTGTAGGATCATATCTCAACTGGCTTTGGCTGGAAGCAAGATTTGACCAAAAATGTGGCCCAGCTGGGTAAAGATCTTGAAACAGTTGAAATCCTTATATGTATGAATGACATATTTCTTTTGATTCCATTTTCATTTTTTGTTTAATGTTTTAAGCCAGTTTTTAAAATATGGACCTGGCTGGATTCTAAGCCAAGAATTTATTTATAAATTCTGGGTTTAATGTATGAATGATAGGTCACGCTAAATTGCAAATGTTGAGCGGGTTCATGCATATAAAGAGTTCTCAACTTACAATGACAATTGAGGCCAATATTTCCATTGCCAAGTAAGACCATTGTTAAATGAGTTTTGCCCCATTTTACGACCTTCCTTGCCACAGTTGCTAAGTGAATCATTGCGGTTGTGAAGTTAGTAACCTGGTTGTTAAGTGAATCTGGCTTCCCCGCTGACTTTGCTTGTCCGAAGGTCGCAAAAGGGAAAATCACGTGACCCCAGGTACATTGCAACCGTCATACATGTGAGCCAGTTACCAAGCGCACAGATATGACCATGGGGATGCTGCAACAGTCATAAATGTGACAAACGGTCATAAGTCACTTTTTTCAGTGCCGTTGTAACTCTCAGTCACTAAACAAATAACAATAGCACTTAGACTTATATACCGCTTTACAGTGCTTTCCAGCCCTCTCTAAGCGGTTTACAGAGTTAGCTTCTTGCGCCCAACAATCTGGGTCCTCATTTTACCAACCATAGAAGGACAGACGGCTGAGTCAATAGCAATAGCATTTAGACTTATATACCACTTTATAGTGCTTTATAGCCCTCTCTATGTGGTTTACAGAGTCAGCCTCTTGCCCCCAACAATCTGGGTCCTCATTTTACCCACTTCGGAAGGATGGAAGGCTGAGTCAACTTTGAGCCTGGTGAGAATTGAACTGCCAAATTGCAGACAACTGGCAGTCAGCAGAAGTAGCCTGCATTACTGCACTCTAACCACTGCGCCACCACAAATGGTTGTAAATTGAGGATTAAATGTAGTATTGAGTCAAAGACAAATTTCCTTAAGCCATGCACCAGGATGTGTTTCCCAGCCTTTTCTTGCTGCCTGTAAAATCTATGACTCAATTTATTCCATCTTTTGAATTTTCCACAAGGTTATTACCGCACGGAGAGAGACAAAGGCTCCCAGTATGAATTGTTCTACAAGAAAGCAGATGAAATGGAATACAGACACGTTTCGTTGTTCCGTCCGTTTGGTCCTCTCATGAAAGTGAAGACAGAGACTGTGGACATCTCCCGGTCGATGATCAATATCATAGTTCCTCTAGCGGGAAGGACAGAGGTTTTTGCACAATTCATGCAAAATTTCAGGTAAGTACATAAGAGATAAGATAAGGTAACCTTTATTGTCATGGTTTTTGGTTTTTTTTTACTGTGAGCACACATTAAAAATCAAATTCTGTTGCCTGCTCTCCAAAGAAATTATATATCTATCCATACAAATATATAGCATGCATATTCATATGCTATATACATACATACATACATACATACATACATACATACATACATACATATACACACACACACACACACCCTTACACCCAGATAGAGAGATAGAGATAGAGATAGATAGATAGATACATAGATAGATACACAGATACATAGATAGATACAGAGGTGGGATTCAGCCAGTTCTGTCCAATTCGGGTGAACCGGTAGTGGCTACTGTGAGAGGCTCCGCCCACCTGCCCGGACATAATGCGTGAGCAAAGAGCATGCACGGAAAGTCGTGCACATGTGTGTGCATGCTCATATTTGTGAACCAGTAGGGAAGGTAAGTGAATCCCACTCTGGATGGATGGATGGATGGATGGATGGATGGATGGATGGATGGATGGATAGACAGACAGACAGACAGACAGACACACACACACACACACACACACACACACACACACACACACACAACTCAGAGTCCATTTTGAATACATAGCGGAAAGAAGAAACTTCAGAGTTTACAAGGTTGATACTATGCACAATGAGAGTTTATGCACCCAAGACAAATTCCTTGTGTGTCCAATCACACTTGGCCAATAAAGAATTCTATTCTGTTCTGTTCTACTGTACTCTATTCTATACGGAACAAAACTGTGACTGAATCTGGATGTTCTGCTTCAGGTACCAACAAAGCCCCCTCCCAGGAGGTAACAAGGAAACCAGGTCATGGAGAGGATGTGTAGCATCCCTGATGATATTACAGACCCTACTTAAGTATCATTTATATGCCGTGTCCTGAATAGAAGGGAGGGAACTGCCAGTAATCTTTTCTGCCACCCTCACCACTCTCTGCACCGCCTTCCTATCCGAAGCACTAATGTTTCCAAACCAGACAGTAATGCCATAGGATATCTAAAAGCTATCCATAGAAGAGGTTAAAAAAAAAAAGACAGCGAGAAAAATAAAAGTTCTTTCAGCGTCAGATATATAGGCCTTTAATTGGAGAAAGCAGAGTAGTAGTATAGGTACTGTGTTTTCCCAAAATTAAGACTCAAACGGAAAATGAGCCCTAGCATGATTTTTTTAGGACGCTCATAATATAAGCCCTACCCCAAAAATAAGCCCCAGTTAATATCGTCAGCCAGACGGATGCATTTTAATACTGTCTTTCCCTGAAAATAAGACCTAACTGGAAAATAAGCCCTAAAGCGTATTTTGGAGCCAAAAATTAATATAAGACCCAGTCTTATTATGGGGAAATATGGGAGTCCTCAATTTACGACTGGTTCCTTTGTGGCCATTCTAAGCTCCGAAGGTCACCCCTGTAGTCAAGTGATTGCATTTTGGGTGCTTAGCAACCAGCTCACAATTATGGCCACTTACAGTGTCACGTGACCACAGTTTTTTCCCAGAAAATCAATTTTTTCTACTGCACCAATCGTGGGCAATGCATTTGCTTAACAACCGCGGCATTCACTTACCTGTTAGAAAAAATGGTTGTTAAATCAGGCAAGGTGACTCGCTTAACGGCTGCCACAATTTAAAACTATATTTCCCAGCTCAATAATAATTGCTAAATCGAGGATAATTTATATTGTGATAGATTGGGGAGACAGATTTCTTGCAAGATAAAAGCAGCACAAATTGTGTTTTTGCATTTAGTAATTCTGGATGCAAAAGTTCTTGGTTGAGAATTGACCTTTGTTAATCTACTCCATCAATAGACCCTGGATACTGTCATTTGCTACGATAATAGATTAGATCTTGTTTCAGTTTCATGGGAAACAACGAGCTTCAGATGAAAACCAAAGGAAATGCTTTCAGCTAATGACGTAGCTACATAAAATGAACAAAAGCAGAATGTAAATATGAATGCTAAATGGTAAAAGCCTCAAAAGCATAATTGAGTCTATTTTAAAACCATGGCATACAAACATATGGAGTGAATTAGCAATTAGAAAGAATCTTGCATATTATATTATTGAGATGCTAAAATCTGAATTAATACACCATTGGGCTGTTGCTAAAAGTATCCTGTGCATCATGAAGTTTCAGAATAACAACATAAAATCCAAAAACGAATCTGTGACTAAGTGGCTAAGACGCTGAGCTTGTCAATCAGAAAGGTAGGCAGTTCAGCGGTTTGAATCCCTAGTACAGGTCTCCTGCGTGAGCAGGGGGTTGGACTAGATGACCTCCAAGGTCCCTTCCAACTCTGTTACTGTTATACGTCTCCGTGGAACAAACCTGTGTTGTTTCTTACAATACCAGGCAGTCTTGCTGATCGGCTTGTGATTTCAAATCATGTTTTTTACAAGTAAATAATTTACATGGAAATCCTCCAGAGCAGCTGAATTGCCTTAAATTGCACATAATCTGGCAGATATCTCTGCAGAGGAAGCATTAGAAAATGGAACATCAGCCCTTGGGTAGATTCCTCATTAAGCAGAATGGTCTTCTGATTTCTCTCAAAAGCAGCTGAAGCAAGGATGTTAAAAATATGGAAGATATGCTTAGGCAGAAAACTCTATAGCAGTGATGGCTAACCTTTCTGCCATCGCGTGCCAGGAGGGGGGGGGCGGTTCGTGCACACACATGCACACACCCGTAATTCTATGCGCCCCATGCGTGCGGGACTCCCCTTCTCCCCCCCCCCTGCTCCTGGCACGTGATAGAGTCTCTGGAGGCTGGGGACAGCAAAAAGCGTCACTTCCTGTCCAACCGGAAGTTGGGAAACAGGCCTCCAGAGGGCCTCTGAGGGGTTGGGGAAGGCTGTTTTCGCCCTCCCCAGATGCATAGAGAGGATCTGGAGCCAGGTGAGAAAGAAAAATGGACCTTCCCCACCCCACCAGGCCCTCCGGAGGCAGGAAACAACCTGTTTCCCTACTTCTGGTGGGCCCAGAAGGCCTGAAAACCAGCTGGCCGGTGCACACATGCACGCCAGAGCTGAGCTGGCATGCCCACTGTTATGGCTACGCGTACCACAGGTTCACCATCACAGCCCTATAGCATTTCAGACCAATGGTTATTCAATCTCTTCTTAAAAACGTCCAGTGTTGGAGCATCTATAACTTCTGGAGGCAAGTTGTTCCACTGATTAATTGTTCTAACTGTCAGGAAATTTCTCCTTAGTTCTAGGTTGTTTCTCTCCTTGATGAATCCGCCCCCCCCCCCCCCCCCCCCCCCCCGCCATTGCTTCTTGTCCTGCCCTCAGATGCTTTGGAGAATAGCTTGACTCCCTCTTCTTTGTGGCAGCCCCTGTGATACTGGAACACTGCTATGGACTCAATTATGGCCAGCCCGAAACTTTTAAGAAATCTAGCTGGTTTTTTAATCAAAGTGTATTTGTAACAAAGCCAACATGAGTAGCTCAGATGATTTGTGAACAGCTCTAGTGAGATTAGATCTTTCCGAGATTTTGGCCGATCAATCCATTTGGAGAATTCTGACTCTGAAAACTTCTGTTGGCCAGTAGAGGAGATACCTGGATCTTTCTTGGTGAAGAAGTTAACTGATTCACTAATATTCTCTTTTGCTCCCAGGGATGTTTGCATTAATCAAGACAAGCGGATTCATCTCACCGTGGTGTATTTTGGACAGGAGGGGCTTTCTGAAGTCAAAAGCATCTTAGAATCCGTTGCGAGGTGAGTCTCAAGGAGTCGCGCAGACATGTGGCGATAGGAAGGAAACCAAGAGGGGAAAGCAGTTTGAACCTCTCCCCTGCAGAGAAGTTCTCTTGAAATGTTTCATTTTAGGGGAACAAAGTTACAACAGGTCTGTATTATGTCTGAGGGCCTAATACAAAAATGGCTTGCAGGCCTGACAGTTACGTCCTTCGTTTATTCTGAAAATACTGGGCTTCTGTGGAATATTGGAAAGAGGCCTGTTTGCCTTTTTCATGCAAAATAACACAGTTCCCAGTTTGTAAGATGGATGCACTGCTTCGCTGGCACACATAAAAAATCTCTGACCCCCCGTAATAAAACCCCTCATTCGGAAACATCAATTCTGCCTTTGGTCTTGACTGAGATCCTTCTGCACCCAGGGGCAATTTGTTGTGTTTTCCTTTGAGTAATGCATCTCATCAAAGTGAATCCTCAACTGCCAGGACCGAAGGCAGCAAACCATAGAAAAATTATTCCGTGACCTTGCAGGAGACGAAACATAATTTTCATTTAATAGCAATAGCACTTTGACTTATGTATATAAGGTGCTTTACAGCCGTCTCTAAGCCGTTTACAGAGTCAGTCTAACACCTGATGAGAGAGAGAGAGAGAAAGAGAGAGAGAGAGAGAGAGAGAGAGAGAGAGAGAGAGAGAGAGAGAGAGAGAGCACTTAGACTTATATACCGCTTTATAATGCTTTACAGCCCTCTAAGCGGTTTACAGAGTCAGCATGTTGCCCCCAACAATTTGGCTCCTCATTTTACCCGCCTCAGAAGGATGGAAGGCTGAGTCAACCTTGAGCTGGTGAGATTTGATCTGCCAAACTGCTGGCAGCCGGTGATCAGCAGAAATAGCCTGCAGTACTGCACTCTAACCACTGCGCCACCAACGCTCATTCATTCATTCATTCATTCATTCATTCATTCATTCATTCATATTAATTTATTTATTAATCAATTACCAATAATTAATTATACCAATTAATCATCCATTAAAAAATCTTTGGAACTGAGCTTGATCTAATGACTTTAGATGTGTGGCTGCTCCATTACTGGAGGCTTTTAAGAAGAGACTGGACAGCCACTTGTCTGGAATGGTAATAGGGTCTCCTGCTTGAACGGGGGTTGGACTAGAAGATCTCCAAGGTCCCTTCCAACTTTGTTATTCTGTTACTTCATGGGCATAGCACACCCAGCTAAAAGTACCCAATCTCAGTAAAAGCGTAAAGCATCAGCAAGCTATATAAGTATATAAGTCTTAAGTGCTATTGCTATTACCTAGCCATCAGCCATCATTTTATGCTTCCTCAAATAGTAATTTGGTTTCTGCCCTCAAGTGAAACTCTTATTTGTAATTGGAGGTGATTAGGGACTTCAGGAAATTCAGTTTCTGAAAAGTCTTTCATTGAACAATGAACAATAATCTAGGACCGTGATGGTGAACCTATGGCACGCGTGCCACAGATGGCACACGTAGCCACATCAATGGGCATGCAAGCTCAGATCTGGCGCTTATGTGAGCGCAGGCCAGCTGATTTTTGGGCCTTCTGGGCCCACCACAAGTAGGGAAATGGGCTGTTTCCTGCCTCCAGAGGGCCTCGGGGAGTGGGGGGGCGGAAGGCCCGTTCTTCTCCACACACCCCAGAGGCCCTCCGAAGGCCAGAAACAACCCATTTGCCAACTTCTGGTGGGACCGGAAGTTGGCAAATGGATCGTTTCTGACCTCCGGGAGGGGAGGAAGGCCATTTTCGCCCTCCTCCAGACTCCTAGAAAGTCTTTGGAGCCTGGGGAGAGAGAAAAATGGGCCCACCGGGCCTTCATGTTCCAGGAGCAGGGGAAGCGGAGGGGGGTCACCCGCGCATGCGTGGTGGGATGCATAGAATTATGGGTGTGGGTACGCGCACATGTGACCCCCCCACGCTCCCCCGCACTCCTGGCACACGATGGCAAAAAGATTAGCCATCACTGATCCAGGACATCCAATGTTAATTTTGGACTAAACTTCACCCAAAGAAATATAATACAGTGGATGATTTATAATGGCTGGTCCTTGTAGCTATTCCAGTGAGAAATGGCTATGTTAAATTTCCACCATTCTCCGAACCTGTTTTTTGCTAGTGCCTTTAGCATTACGCAAGTTGATGCAAAGCTACCATGTTCATGTGATCATTTACGACAAAGTTCTTTTCCATTGACAAGAATGTTTGATTGGTTATCTGTCAGGGTTCCCAGTAACACCCCCAACAAAAGAAGACTCTTGAAGTTCCTCAAAGTTCCTTTTTATTAGAGATGTCATATTGGCACCTGGAAAAACCTGAATCTGAAAGCCTCCAGGTATTCCCCACCCAAAAGAAAGTCCAAGTCCCTGCCCAGCACCCACATGTCCATCAAAGAACCACCCCAACTGGAGATGCCTCCCAGTTCCAGTCCTCCAGGTGCAGGGCAAGATGTCCTTGACTCTCTGAGAAAGGAATGTTATTATGACTATATATCACCCTTTCACCATATAATCCCCCCCTCCCAGTTTCCCACAGTAGTAAATGTGGCAGGTCTGAAGGCCCAATGCAAAAGATGGCTTCCAGGCCTGACATTATCGTTCTCCGTTCTGCTAAATTAAGCATCTGAACAGGGGAAGAATTTGTTATACGTTGGTGGTTCTGTGTAGAAAAGTTTTCTGTCTGAATAGACTTGGGAGAAAGAAAAATTAGCTTCCCTAATTTCTCACATGCAACTTTAATAATGAGCACTTTTTGTAGAGCTTCTCCCGAAAAGAAATTATCCAAGTGGTTGTTGCCTTTTCATAACACCATGGAAGACCCGGGTATCTGCCGGGAAATTGGTATCTGCAAGATGGCAGGCAAGTGTTGCAGTCAAAGCCCCATCCCTTTTGTGTGTCCGTGACATGTACACACAAGTTGCAATTCTGGGCTCGCCATGTTGCAGATTTTGGCCTAACTTGTTGAAACTCAACAAGTTAAATGCAAATCACCACTTCGTCTAAAGAAGGAGTATCTAGCTCGAAAATACAACAGAGGCCCGTTGTATTCATGAAGAACAGTAGGGGGTGGTGTGTAGTAATCCTTGCTTCACAGGCAACCCAACACAGATCTTCTTTCCAATAGCAACTCTGCAAGGGTGAAATGTAAGACATGGAGCTTGGTTGAATTAATTGGCCTTCAGACAGTGGTGGGATTCAGCCGGTTCGGGTGAACTAGTAGTTAAATTGCTGGGTGGCCCTACCCCTTCCTGCCCCGCCCCTTCCAGGAGTCCTCACGTGCCCCATTTTGGCTCCCAGGTAAGTGCTGGGAGGCCTCCTAGGCCCAAAATAGGGTGCGGGGGGGGGGCTGTGGGGCGGCTCGTTTTTGCTCCCGGTGTCAGCCTTCTCTGGAACCACCTGTGCTCCGCCGAACAAACACCACACGCACACACTCAAAGGTGAAGCTATCCTGTTTAATCATAGCTTACACAGTGGTCATACAGTAAGCGCTGAAGTTTTCTGAGTCGGAGACGCCCGATTCTTCCGCTTATCCGGCTTTATAGAATGTCCCCAACCGCCCCGCCCTTGCTCAATTGTGCATTTAAAGTGACGGTACTATTTACTCCTTCAGGTTCATTGTGGATTGCCAGTTACTTCTGGATCTCGCTGTCCCTCGTATTGAAAGGCTTTTGTTTCCTTTGACATCGTTTTATTGACCCTGTCCCCAGATTCTCTATACCGTCCACCACCTGATATCACTGTGCCCTGCTAAACACTACAAAAAACCCCTTCACCGTGTCTCTGTTCTTCTGGCTTGTCACAGTCCCCGGGATCATGTGTCGAGGGAATGGCTGACACTCGACACCTGGGAGGCTGCACAGAGGCCTACTAGGCCCAAAACGGGAGGGCAGTGTGTTCCCCCTGCAGCCCGTATTTGCTCCCAGTGGGGTGCAGGAGGCCGAGTGCTGCCTGTCCACCCCCTGGCTACGCCCACCATGGCCACACCCACCCAGCCAGTCATTAGGGCAGAGAACCGGTTCTTAAATTATTTGGATTCCATCACTGCCTTCAGGGTATTGTTTTGAGCCGTTGGGCCATGAACCGAGAACTTGGATGTTCCAAACTCTGGATGCTTTGTCTTGTTAGGGAGGCTGACTTCCATAACTACACTCTGGTTTCTCTGAATGAGGAATTCAACCGTGGCCAAGGACTGGATGTGGGTGCCCGAGCTTGGGAAAAAGGAGAAGTCTTGATGTTCTTCTGCGATGTGGATATTTATTTCACGGCTGAATTCTTGAACAGCTGCCGCCTGAATACAGAACCAGGTAGGTCTCTTATATCCTGAAGAGAACGGAGAAGAGGTTTTTAGATCATTCCCTTTCTCCCAGTATGAAGAAGCCTTATACTGCAAAATACTTCTTTGGATATCCTCCTGCATTGTAAATTTTCCTGAGGCATTTCATTTCTCATGGTTTCTCCAGTCTTGATAGGGTCATATATTTTCCTTGAGAACAGCTGATCTTCCATAAACTGCTGAATTAATCCTTTGCTAGACATCTGGAAAATTACTTGAGGGGGGGGAGAGCATAAGACAGTGGTTGTTTTCATTTCATTTATTATATTTATATAGAGGGTTTCCTTTGAGGAGGCTTTCTCCCCTGAACATGGCATGAGTAGACTTCATCACACCATTCATGGCTTTTGTTAAGTTAATTATAGCCTGACTAAGTGGCTCAGTGGCTAAGACACTGAGTTTGTTGATCAGAAAGGTTGGCAGTTTGGCGGTTTGAATCCTTAGTACAAGTCTCCTGCGTGAGCAGGGGGTTGGACTAGACAACCTCCAAGGTCCTTCCAACTCTGTTACTGTTAAACTGATCATAAATAAAACCAATGATAAGATTATATAAAAAATATATATTATATTGAATAAATTACAATAAGAAACTCTGCCTCTATTTCTCCCTTCTTGTCCTTTATGTTCCTCTTTGGGATATCACAAGCTGCCAAACGGAATTTGGCTGCCTGCCTTTTGCAATTTTGCAGTCCTGCAAGTAAGCAGTTTTTGTTGAAAAGTGTGTGGAACCCCTGGAGGTGTTTATAGTAAAGGGTAATTGTGGTGTTAACACATGTCCTTTTGGAAGGAAAGTGGGGTCTAATGTTTCTATCACAGCTTTCTCACAGTCCCACCACATTTCATGGAGGGCAGTATTTCTATATTTACCTTATTATTCCTAAAACTGCATATTACGGAACCGTGGCCAAACTGAACTTCACAGCTGAGCCAGGACTCCATGAAAACAGGTCAAACAATTATGTCTGTCATGTGTGTGTCTGCATGCATACAAATACACAAAGAAACACACGCACACACATACACTATATAGTATAATTAGATATGTCTCCCTAGCCTAATAAAGAGAAAGACTAGAGGTGACATGATAGCAGCTTTCCAATATTTGAGGGGTTGCCACAAAGAGGAGGGAGTCAACCAGGGGTGAAATGCTCCCGGTTTGGACTAGACCATCCGATCCGGTAGCGATGGAAGCGGGTGGTTCGGAGAACCGGTAGCAAAAATCCCTGTCCCCCCCATGCCCAGCTGAGCCGCGCAATCATCAGAGGCTTTTTTTCTTTTAAATGCCTCTCATAACCCAAGCTGAGTTGCCTGATCAGCAGAAGCTTTTTTCTTTTAAATGCCTCTGACGATCCAAGCTGGGGTCGTCAGAGCCTTTTGAAAACATTTTTCTACAACCTCTTCACCGAAGAGGTTGTAGAAAAAATGGTTTTAAAAGTAAAAAAAAAAGTAAAAAAAAAAATTGGCCATGCCCACCCAGTCACATTACCCACCACCACCACCAAGCCACACCCACAGAACCGGTAGTAACAAATTTTAGATTTCACCACTGGAGTCAACTTATTTTCCAAAGCACCTGAAGGCCAAACAAGGAACAATGGATGGAAACTAATGAAGGAGAGAATCAACCTGGAATTAAGGAAGAATTTTCTAACAGTGAGAGCAATCTAATCTATCATTCTAATGCCTTCATTCTAATACATACATAGTATCTCTTTCTATGTCCACCTAACCTGATTCTTTGACATTTCAACTTTTAACTCGTGTTTCTAACCATTGATAGAATCTATTCCATGTAGCGTAGTATTCTGTATCTCCTTTATCTTTTATTTTTAGCATTAGCCTGTCCATTTCCGCACAGACTAGTATCTTCTTATTGTCTCCTCCTCTCAAGGGGTGTTTTCACTTCCACTGTATCCAAAATTTTCTTGATTTCGTACAGGTCCACCACATGTGATAATATGTGCCAGGTATTTGTTTACATTTCCCATAGTTTGGGGACATATTGCTAAACATTTTGGCCAATTTTGCTGGGGACAGATGCCGTCTATAGAACATTTTATAGAGATTTTCCTTATGTGATGTGGCCATTGTCAGTTTCCAATTTCTCTCCCAAAGCTTTTGCCATTTATCCAAATCTATATTATATCCAAAGTTTTTGGCCCATACTATCATCGTCTCTTTAACTTGTTCTTCTTCCATTTTGTAATTTAATAAACAATTGTATAGTATCCTTATCAATTTGTTATCAGTCCCAACTAATATCTTGTCCAATGTTGTTAGTTCTTTATAAAACCCCCATGTTTTCACATCTTTCACATAACATGATTGTATCTGCAGGTACCATCACCACTCTAATTCCACCCCTTGGTTTTTTTAGTTCTAATCTGGTTTTCAATTCACCCTTCTCATTTAGTATATCCTTATAAGAAACAATTTTTTTCCATATTTATAAGATTTGGATGTATCAATGTATCAACTCTCTTATTCTGTATTCTATGTCTCAAACTGGATGACTTCAGTCTTAGATTTATATTGTACTCTCAATACTCTCTGTTAGATGCAAGTCATGTTTTGGGGCAGGGCGATGACTCATTGGTTAAAAGACGCTGGGGTTGTCGGTTGGAAAGTTGACAGCCCAGGTTTGGGACCTGAGCATCGCGCAAGGGGGTGAGCTCCCATCTTCCCCCTCGCTCCTGCCCACCTAAGCCATTCAAAAGCATGCAAGAGAGTAGAAGTTAGAATAGAATGAGCTGGAAGGGACTTTGGAGGTCTTCTAGTCCAGCCCTCTGCTCAAACAGGAGACCTTATACCAGGGGTCTGCAACCTTAAATACTCAAAGTGCCATTTGGACCCGTTTCCCACAGAAAACACTGGGAGCCACAAAACCTGAGTGGGCGTGGCCAACTCGATGTCAGTCACTTCCACTGGTCACATGACCACCCCCTAGCCATGCCTACCCAGCCGATCATTAGGGCAGAGAACCAGTTGTTAAAAAACACCGAGAACCACAAAATCCTTTTGACATATCTCTCTCTCACCTTCCTCCCTCCCTCCCTCTCTCTATGTCTTTCTCTCTCCCCCTCTCTCTGTATCTCTCTGCCTCTGCCCTGGGCGCTTCTCCATCCCCCGCTGTCGCCTTTACCTTCTCAGGCCAGGCGAGGAGTGACTGGGAGGGGAAGGCGAGGGGCGGGGCCAGCCAGTGGTGAGATTACCTGACAGGGAGCCACAGCAGAGGGCCCAAAGAGCTGCATGTGGCTTCAGAGCCACAGGTTGCTGACCTCTAGACAAATGGCTGTCCAATCTCTTCTTAGAAACCTCCAGTGATGAGGCACTCACAACTTCTGGAGGCAAGTTATTCCATTGATTGACTGTTCTCACTATTAGGAAGTTTCTTCTGATTTATAGGTAGAGTAGATGACTTTGGTCAGGAGGAAAGAGCATTCCATGACATCATGCTGGCCATAGGACCATAGAAACCTTTTTCGGACAGCACTGGCTCAATGGCCTTTGAAACGGAGATGAGCACCATTCCCTATAATCAACTCCTTTCCTTCCTTCCATGTTACAGTAGTGCTTGGGAAATAGTTTAACGGTTAATTTAAAAACAAAACAAAATGGGAAGTCTTTTCCTCATCAGTCGTTCAGACGGAGTCTTTCCCCTTTTTCGCAGGCAAGAAGGTTTTTTATCCGGTGGTTTTCAGCCTTTATAATCCTGCCATTGTCTACGCTAATCAAGACGGGCCACCTCCAGTGGAACAGCAATTGGTAAGAGACGGGGGTTCCAGAGAAACTTTAAAAACGTTACTCTCCATAGTAACAACAACACCGTGCAGTGTATAATTTCCTGGAACATCTTTAAAAATGAAGTTTCACTCGTTGACAATGGGATCTGTCCTTTCCTGGGCCTTCATTGAATTTTCCCCCAAGCAACACGAACGAAAGGACTTGCTGTCCTCAAATGACATGAACAAAAGAGAGAGACCTTTGCTGAAATTTGTTCTTAGTTTATCAGATTAACATTTAGCAAGTTTCCATTTGTTTTAGTTTTCTTGAACTCAGCAGATTTTTGGGGGGGAGGGGGGAATGTGTTTCAAGTCAGTTTTATTAGTGTTTGTTTATTTTAGTCACTTTATAAGGATTAGGGAGATGGGCAGCATAAAGATGTAATAAATAAATAAGAGATAGAGAATCTCAGCCATCCATGTCAGAGTGTGCTTATTCAAGAGGCAACTGGACTTTCTTTCTTTTACCTCGTCCAAGGAGCTTCTTCAGCTCTTCCGTTCTGAACTGAAGAAGCTTCCTGGATGAGAAGCGAAACGTCTTCAAGGAAAAAAGAAGTGCAGTCGTCTCTTGAAGAAAAAAGAAGGACCTTTGGGACTTGAATGCAATCATCTACCATTCCGTTGATGGTTAATGTCTACCTCCTGTCTTCTTCTTTCCTCACCATCAGGCAATGCTGAAGTGGGTTTTGTTTCAGGCCTTGTTGTTTTGCTCTTTCCTGAAGCTAAAACTCTGTGTCTGTTTCTGTAATAGGTCCACAAAAAAGATTCCGGCTTCTGGAGAGATTTTGGCTTTGGGATGATGTGTCAGTATCGCACAGATTTCTTGGCCATTGGTAAGATGTATAAATGCCTCTCTCTCCCTCCCTCCCTCCTGTGGGGCGTGTCTTGGTGAGTGTTGCATGACTTGGTGGGCGTGGCAGAGAAAGAATACTGCAAACTCTCCATTCCCACCCCACTCCAGGGGAAGGATACTGCAAAATCCCCATTCCTACTCCACTCCAGGGGAAGGATATTGCAAAATCTCCATTCCCACTCCACTCCAGGGGAAGGATACTGCAAAATATCCATTCCCATCCCATTCCATGGAAAGGATACTGCAAAATCCCCATTCCCACCCCACTCGGGGGCCAGGCAGAGGTGGTACATATTTTGTGGAGAATGTACTGACTTGGTCAATGTATTTTTTACACAGTGCTTATAGTAATAATGCAATTAAATATACATAATCATAGTATTCCAACTTCTAATCTTGACATAGATATTGTAATTGCAATAAATTCTATTCTTTATCTTCTGGTTATTTATCTTTAAATCATATTTTTTAAAAGAGCAACTATCATCTCTGTCCCAAAGCGGCTCCTCCTCTGACCTGCTGTTGACTCACCGACAGTCCCAATGTTGCACAATATACAGCCTGATACTACATAAGGAAGCTTCATTTCATGCTGAATAAACTAAATTATGAATGTATCTTAAATAGAAAAGTATCTTTAGATAGATTTTTACTCCAAAAGCATTTTATTAAAATATATTTGATTTTAAAAAATCTGATCTAAATAAAAAAATCAATTTAAATTTTTAAAAAATCAGATTTAAAAAAATAAAATAAAATAAAAAAGCATTGATTTTTATCCACCCTGGCCCAAATGCTTTCTCTTTTATTTATTGCTGTTTTATTGTAGCTAATGGATTTTCTGCTGAAATACACGGCCTACAAATTCTTGTCTCAGTTGATCTAAAGTGTGGGTGGTTAAATCTAAAGGATGGGTGGGCGGGCATGAGCTTTCAATTAGTTATTTATCGAATGTAAATTAATTAATTCTTGCCGGAATTTCCTGGATACAATATACTGATTTTGGACTTTTGTGAAACATTCATTACCGTTCACATAACTGATTTTTTAAAAACAACAATGGAAAATGAGTAACTGAAACTTTTTTTCATTTTGTATGTTGGTGCCATCATGTGGCTCAACAGAATTTTTCAGCAAAAGAGATTATCGGCATTATGCCTACATGTAAATTGTAATACATTGCAATAAAAGAGGTGAAATTGGAAACCACTTCATTCGCTAGATAAATGTCCCAAGTGAATACCATAATGTTCATCCATGTTTGCTCTTTCAAAATGGCACAATACAGATTTCTTCTTGAATACAGGATTTATTAATGGAAAGTAAACAGGTCCTAGAGCAAAATTTAAACATCTTATTTCAGTAACAGGAATAATTGCCTTTCTTACATATCTACTGTAAAGTTGTTGTTGTTAATTGCGAAGTCTTGTCCGACCCATCGCGACCCCATGGACAACATTCGTCCAGGCCTTTCTGTCCTCTACCATCCCCCGGAGACCATTTAAGCTCACGCCGACTGCTTCAGTGACTCCATCCAGCCACCTCGTTCTCTGTTGTCCCCTTCTTCTTTTGCCCTCAATCATTCCCAGCATTAGTCTCTTCTCCACTGAGTCCTTCCTTCTCATTAGGTGGCCAAAGTATTTGAGTTTCATCTTCAGGATCTGGCCTTCTAAAGAGCAGTCAGGGTTGATCTCCTCTAGGACAAATTAGCATATAATGTATCTAAATAATGTATTTAAAACATTCTGTAGTATTTTAATCCGTAAAAATATAACTATTTCATTCTATCCCTTCACAAGAGGGTTGTCAATCTTTGTCTGCCCCCTTTTTTTAATAAACAGTTGAAGGGTCCTTGGTGCTCTCTGAGCCTTGGTTGTTTTCTTGGAGATGTTTCATTACCAAATTAGGTAACATCATCAGTGCTACCTACCTGGAAGAAAACACCAAGCTCAGAAGGCACCAAGGACCTCACAGTCTTCCTACCTCCTTTCCCCTTCTCCTTCTCTTCATCCTCCTTCTCTTCGTCATCCTCCTTCAACTCCTCCCCCTCCACCATCACCATTCCACTCCCTTCTAGCATTGATGATGTTACCTAGTTTGGGTCATGAAACGTCCACAAGAAAATCAAGCTCAGAAAGTGCCAAGGATCCCTCATGTCAACCCTGAGCTACAAATATTCTCCTCTATCAAGAGAAACAATGACTAAAGATATAGAACGAAATAACTCAATATAATTGTTTTGCTAGAAGTTTTATGGTGGCCTCGTAGTATTGCTGAAGCTGCAAGCAGCCAGAACCACACGTGAATATAGCTTCAATCAGAAGCTTTATTGTTAAGTCACTTACAATATGTTGCAAGAATCTCACCAGACTGACTCCATTCAGTCAGAATTCTTCAGGAATTCTGGGGGAGGTCAGGTCTGTGTCCCTTTCTCCAGTGCAAGGACTTTAAACTTGACCCCTCTTTAAACACCTACAGTAGTGGACAAAATTGTGGAAACCTTTTGGGAAAAGTGTATTTTCTAAAACTAGCTAATAACAGCACTTTCTTTGGGAGTTGTACCATAAAATTATGTATCAATGGAAAGATAATTTAATCAAGAATGTAACGCAATAACTTTTATGAAGAATTTGCTATTAGAATAGCAGTTACAGTATAAAGAAGAAAAGTGAAACACATAAAAAAATGAGATATACAAAAATTATCAACATAGAAAAAATGAGATATACAAAAATTATCAACATAGAAAAAATGAGATATACAAAAATTATCACATCAGTTAATCCTTAGTTAGTTAGCATGAATTATGGCCTTACAACGTCTTCCCATGGAGTGAGCCAAGTCTTTTAAGTTCTGCAGCTGTGATAATGTGAAACCAACATTGAATGTTTGCTTCTATTCACTAGGTTTTATTCCTGAGTCGCTTCTGACTAACAAGTTTTTTTAGTCAGCTGGCTCCATAGATTTTTCCATTGGGTGAAGGTCTGGGCTATTCCCAGGCCATTCGAGCAGTGGAATAGGATTATCTTGAAACTCCAAAAAACAAAAAAAAAGTGGTGTTATTAGCCATCAAACCTCAAAAATACACTTTTCCTAAAAGGTTTCCACAATTTTGGCCACTACTCTACGTGCTGTCTAACTGGAGACTCTGCCACTCTGCTGAATTAATTTTAATAAAATGATGGATGTCCATCCCTTTTGATTCAGGCTCCACCATCCATGTCCTTCAAACAGTTCTCCTGACCTCTCTCTGATTTCCCACAGGAGGCTTTGACCTGGAAGTCAAAGGGTGGGGTGGAGAAGACGTTCACCTCTACCGGAAATACCTGCACAGCAACCTGATGGTGGTCAGGACTCCGGTGCCCGGCCTGTTTCATCTTTGGCACGAGAAGCACTGTGCCGACGAATTGACTCCCGAGCAATACCGCATGTGCATCCAGTCGAAAGCCATGAATGAGGCTTCTCACTCGCACCTTGGCATGCTTGTTTTCCGGGAGGAGATCGAAACCCACCTGCGTAAGCAAGCCTACAAGACTAACAGTGAAGCCATAGGCTAGAACGATCTTCGGGGCAACCTTCAGACTCCGTAGCTGCTATGAACCAGATTTGGTTCGGAAGCCTTAATTAACTCAGCTTACAAACATGCAGTGCCTCTCCTCTCTCTCTCTCTCCCTCTCTCTCTCTCTCTCTCTCTCTCTCTCTCTCTCTCTCTCTCTCTCTCTGAGTCGAAAGATCTCTTTCTGCGGCCAGGTATCACCAAGGATTTCACCAGAGGAGGCATTCACCCAAAAGGGACTTCTTTCCCTTCACTTCAACAAGTTGGATGGTGCACATGGGGCGGGGTGAACTGGGGAGGAGAAGACCACCTCTTTTCCAAATTTTCCACTTTTGGGGTTCTCCAACCTGCATCCCGCGAAAGGGATGGATCACACCTCTCAGTTTTCCGCGGTTATTCTGCATTGTTCCTTTCCTTCTTTTTTTTTTTTTTTTAAGAATGGACACGGTACGTATTGTTCTGACCTAGGCTTCCCAAGAGCATGAAGCAGACTCCTTGTCCCGACAAAACCCCCTTTTTATTAAGTTACTATGAATTCCTCTCATTCACATCCAGCAAAGTCTTTCAAGGGAGAATTTACAGTCACAGACCTTATCTGACTTGGAGAGCTGCCAGGCCGATATATTCAAAATTTGGCAAGGAGTCTTGGAGAGTCACAAACCAATTAAGCGAATTAACCGTCTCCTGCAAACTCCACTCCCCTTTCGCTCCTCTTTATTCCCTATGGGAGGGGCCATTCACGTCCACTTATGGCTTTACTCCCAAGTCGACCCTTGTTCCTTAGCTGTTCCCTTCCCCTGGCAGCTCTGCACATGCACACACTGGGAACAGGCTCCAGCTGTTCTTCTGCCCCACTGATGTCCGACTCCAAAGGCAGCTGACAATTGTCAGACGGCCCTGGCCCCATCTCTGCCTCCAACGCAGAGCATTCATCAGAGCCTTCCGCAGACTCCAGGACTGCCCCATGTTCCTCCTCAATGTCCTCACTGTCTGAGTCTGCCACCAGCTCCGCTGGCCACTGGCGGGCCACAACACGTATCCCTTTAATGGGAAGAGGCAGAAGGTAGGTGTGATTGTGCCGACTGACACATCGTTGCAGCTAGAACCACTGAGTTTGCCTTATCAGGAACATCCATACACTTGCAAAAAAAAGTAAAATAAATCTAGATGTCAGGTTTCTAAAAAAAAATTAAAATAAAAAAAGACCATTCAAGAGTTTGCGAAACGGTTGCGGTGCCGTACTTTAGCAGATTGTACATGAGCTGAGCTTTATATGCTATGTGCTTATCCTAGCTACCAGCCAATTTTTCTTTTTCTTTTCTTTTTTATTTTCTTCTGCATGTTTGGAGACCTAGAATGAACAAGGATTTAAATGGTTCAATTCTGATCCTCTTGGCTCTTCAGAGGAAAGTAGCAATGTTTCTGCCCCTTGACCGAGGCGGAGAACATCAGAAAATGGCCCTGAAAGTTAGACACAAGTCAACTTTGCTAACTATCTCCTTTTTATATTTCTTAGCCTTGGGCGCACAAGTTTGTCTATTCAGGCTGAATTGGAATGAACACTAGTGGCAGAAAAGTGGAATTATGCTCTCTCTCTCTCTCTCTCGTTCTCTCTCTCTCTCCCCCTTTTTTTTTTTTTATTTAATCTATCCATTTCAAACAGGATTTGTCAAAGAGATGCCAGAACTCTCCCAACAAATTCCTGGATAACGGGGAAAAATAAAAAAAAGACAGGTTGAAGTTTTTCTCTGTCTGAATCGCCGTATAACTATTTGGGCCCATCCCTTTTTAACACGTAGTTTGCTTTTATATAATAACATTATTGAGAACAAATATTATTTATCTGACTTGGGAGAGAATGTCATGGGGCTTGCTGTTGTCGTGTCTTTATAAATAAATTGAATATTCCTCTCTTTTGATATTTGGCTGGTTTCTCTTCCTTGGAGTTTCGACCTAGGAGAAGAGGATAGGAAAAAGAGGGAACAGCTACATCAAAGAACCCCCAAATTGTGAGGGGTTTATGAGGCCCATTGGAGAATGGGCTGCTTTGAGTCTTCTTAACAAATTGACTGTAAGCTCACAGTGTTCTGACCTAGGCTTCACAAAAGCACAAAGCAGACTCCTTGTCCCGACAAAACCCCTTTTTATTAAGCTAATGTGAATTCGTTTCATTCACATCCAGCAAAGTCCCAGCAAACAGTCTTTCCAGGGTGAATTTACCACCACAGATTTTATCAGGCTTGGAAAGTTTCCAGGCCGATATCTTCCAAATGCAACACTATACAAGAAAATACTTGGCAAGGAGTCTCTGAGAGTCACGAACAGATCTTCACACTAATGAAATGAACTAATTGTCTCCTACAAACTCCACTCCACTTTCGCTCCTCTTTATTCCCTATGGGAGGGGCAATTCACCGTCCTCCTGTCACTTTACTCCTGAGTCGACCCTTGTTCCTTAACTGTCCCCTTCTCCTGGCAGCTCTGCACATGTGCACACTGGGAACAGGCTCCAGCTGTTCTTCTGCCCCACTGATATCCGACTCTGAAGGCAGCTGACAACTGTCAGACGGCCCTGGGCTCATCTTTGCCTCCGATGCAGAGCACTCATCAGAGCCTTCCCCAGACTCCAGGACTGGCCCATGTTCCTCCTCAAGTTCCTCATCACTGTCCGAGTCTGCTGCCAGCTCCGCTGGCTGCTGGCAGGCCACAACACACAGTTTGGTAAAGGGAAGTTTTGAGACAGCCTTTTCCCTCCCTCGGGTTATTGAGAGAACGAAACCAAGGACACATGAAGGGAGAGTTTCTCTTGCTGCCACAGAAAATAGCATGTCATTAGAATAGAGGTAGTTCTCGACTTGCCGTGCACATATATGTCACGAAAGCTCACAAAGATGGAGCGGGGCTAGGCTATTTGGGAGAAGGAGGCCTTTGCTGTGCGCTGGGCATTGATGACGTGGCGGCATCTTTTGGAGGGGGCCAGGATTCCATTCAAAGTCTGGACTGACCATGAAACCTTGGGGCACTCCAGACGCCACGAGGGATTATCCCCAAAGTAGGTCCGGTGGGCACATTTCCAATGGTTCCGTTTTCAACTGAAGTACATCCCAGCGGGTAAGAACTCCCTGGTGGACGCTTTGTCGCAAATACCACAATATAATAGTCACCAAGAGGACGACTACCCCAGTGTTGGATATGCGGTAGCCCAGATAATCCAGACCACAATGTAGCCAAAATCTCCCTCGCTAAGCAAGAGAGTTGTTACGTGAACTTTTCCTTGTTTTACAATCTTACTTGCCACCCTTGTTCAGCAAATCCCTGCCATTATGAAGTTAGGAACATGGGCTTCCCCCATTGACTTTGCGGGTCAGAAGGTTGCAAAGGAGGATCATATGACCCCCGGGGACACTGTGATGGTCATAAATACAAATTAGTTGCCAAGCATCTGAATTTGGATCACGCGTCCACGGGGATGCCACAACGGTGGTCAGTGTGAAAAACAGTTAAAAGTCTGTTTTTTTTCAGTGCCATTGTGATTTCAGACGGTCACTAAATGAATCATCATAAGTCAAGGGCAACCTGCACCACTGAAGATAGAACAACCTCAAAGGATTAGTGCAAGACTGGAAGATGTGGAGAGACCTGGCCCATAGATTCGTCAAGAGTTGGACACGACTGAAAGGATAACATTGCGAGTTGAAAACTGGCGTGCAAGGTAAGGTATTTTGATAGTGTAAGAATAGGAATAGAAGGGAAGGGAAGGAAATAGAACAGAACAGAAAGGAATAGAACACAACAGAACAAGAATAGAATAGAATAGAATAGAATAGAATAGAATAGAATAGAATAGACAGAGTTGGAAGGGACCTTGGAGGTCTTCCAATCCCCTGCTCAAGGGTTCTTTTGTGATTTTTTTTTGGGGGGGGGTTTATAGTAGATACGGTTAAGAGAGTCGAAACTCAACATAATATCAAAGTCAAACAAATAATGACAGACCAAGGTTCTGAATTCATGTGAAAGAATTTAGTAATTAGACTAATAAAAATGGTTTGATACATTACAAAACTTCGCCGTTTTTGCCATATCAAAATGGCGTACTTGAACGCAGAAACGGTGTTTTACAGACTATGGTTAGGTGTGTTTTGGAAGATGCAGGATTAAGTTTTTCATTCTGGGGAGAGGCTGTTCTATATTCAAATTATACATTGAATAGATTATGGTCTAACGTAATTCAAAAAACCCCATATGAAACCATGTATAACTGCAAACCCAAATTATCTCACCTTCATGTCTTTGGGGTAATGGCCAACATACATATTCCCAAACAATTTAGAAGAAAGGGGGACAAAATTTCAAAAAGGCTAAGATTCATAGGTTATGAGTCCAAAACCAAAGCATATAGATTTATGGACCGTAATCATAAAATAATAATTTCAGGATCGGCGAATTTTGATGAAAATGCTAATTGGAGCAAAATACATTCAAACGAAATCATATTAGATAAACACATATAAAGATAATAAAACACAATCAAAACCTCACATACACATCAACAAATCAATCAAACATAAAGTAGCTATTAAGAATTGGAAAGAAGGCCACCACATCATTAATACACGAGACACTGATGAAGAGAACACCAATGAATCATCTGAAAATACTAATAACACAGAAAAAAACATCAGAAGATCACCTAGATCAAACAAAGGGAACACGCCTAAAATCTTAAAGGACTATGTGATGTCCATTAATTGTGATGTCACTATGCCAAAAAACTATGAGGACATTTTGGCTCTTCCCAAGGAGGAACAAATAAAGTGGAAAAACGCTATGCAAAAAGAGATGGATAGTTTAAGGCCACTAAAAGTATATACACCAGCTAGAGTCCCCAAACACAAAAAAACAATTGGAACGAGATGGGTATTCAAGATAAAACATTTAGAAGATAACAAAAATTTATATAAGGCAAGAATGTAGCACAAGGATTTTCTCAAAGATTTCCAGATGATTACACAGATACCTATTCTCCTACTGTCAGGCCAGAAAGTGTAAAAACCACACTAGTCATTGCATCAATTCTAAACTAACATGTCTTTCAATTTGATGTACAGACAGCGTACTTACACGTGCAACTAGATAAAGACATTTATGTCAGAGCACCACCAGGAATTGACCAAGATGAGGGCAAAACATGGTTATTAAAGAAAAGTCTCTATGGTCTGCGACAATCGGGTAAGCATTGGTATGATTGTCTTTCTGAAACACTTGGGCTAAAAGGTTTCACCACCACATCAGCTGACAAATGTGTGTTTGTCAGGTGAGATCAGGGTTCCTATGAAAAGGTATTAGTATATGTTAACGATATTTTATACTTCGGTAAAAGTAAATCCAAGTGTGATCAATTTGCTCAAAAACTCAATGAACATTTTTCACTAAAATTATTGGGAAAGATTGATAAATACCTGAGAGTTCAAATTACCAAAACAGAGAATGGTTTCATACTATCACAAAAAGAAATTTTTTTAGAATTATTATTAAAATGCAACATGACCAATGCTAAACCATCTGATACGCCTATGCAGGCTGATTTTTTAAGAAATATGTATAATGATGATGAAACTTTTAATGAAAATACACTATATCGATCAACAATCGGTTCATTGCTCTGTATAGCTAATTGGACCAGACCCGATATATCTCTCCCTGTCAATTTACTATCTAGACATGTAAATAACCCGAAGATATATCACTAGAAAGCTGTTAAAAGATTGCTAAAGTATCTGAAACATACAACGAACGCCACATTAACACTCACTCCAAACATATCTAAGTCACCAATACTCTCATGTTATGCAGATGCGGACTGGGCTAGTGACATTAAAACAAGAAAAAGCACTCCAGGTTATGTCATATATTTAAATGAAAGCCCAATACATTGGTACACGGGTAAACAAAAGCTTGTATCAACCTCAACTACAGAGGCAGAGTTCGTATGTTTGTCAAAAGCGGCAAACAATTTAATATGGTTCGATGATTTAATGATAGACATTTGGAAAGAGCCTGCATATCCAATAATCATACAGGAAGACAACAAAGTCGCCATTGACATATCTAAACCTGACGCAATTGGTCAAAGATCCAGAGTTATAGACATTAAATATAAACATGTGAGACAGTTATCAGAAATGGGATTTATAAAGGCGGTATATTGTAAAACAAAAGAACAAACCACGGATATATTAACTAAACCACTCCCATCAAATCAGCATATTTATTTAACAAAGAGACTATGTGTAAATATATAAATAGTATATTATAGTTACAGTAATTATTTCGATTAAACCAATCGTATTAGAAGGGGTATTGTTGAGATAAAATACCAGAGTGTTTTAATCTGGTATAAACATCATCAATATAACATGTTCTATTTAAACTTGATGTCCCATAATGCAATGTTCCACTCCCCCTTCCAACCTGATATAAAAGGTACTCACCTTCGCTTTTGCCTCACTCTCGTCGGTGTTTCAGTGATGTAATGTACTGAGATAGAATATTTAAGGATTGACTTATTAGTTTAGTTATAAAATAAAACATATATACTGATTCTATTCATATGGAGTTGTTTGGCTTGATCATTTTTAAAATAACATATTCTATTCTATTCTATTTCTATTATTCATCACACTTGGCCAATAAAGAATATTCTATTCTATTCTTAGTTTCCTCCATAAGAATCATGCAGCGAACTTCCGGTTTGCTGCTGGCCGCCGCCAGACGTTCCTTTGGGATCGTCAGCTTCCTTTGCCTGTCAGAGCCACCTTCACAGCGGAATGGCGGCTCGAAAAAACTCCGTTTCCATGAGGAAACGGAGATAGAGCCGGCAGGGGTGGGTAGAACTCTCTGCAGAGTCCCAAAGGTTTTT